GATGTTAGATAAGTCAGAGTGGTGGGTAGCTGATTTTGTGAAGGCTGATGCTGATAGATAAGATATAAATTAAAAATAAAAAACCCACAGTGACACCTTACCACTCTCCGCCAATATACCCTCTGTGTAATTGAAGTCTTCTGAAAAATTGGTAGCGAGCGCCTTGATCTCTATTGCTCGCTATATAACCCCTGCTTGAGTGGCGCGTGCGTGGGGGGTGAGGGGTGCGCGAGAGAGCGGCGGTGCGCGGTGTGTGCGACGGCTGTGGTTGGATGGGGGGGCGTGCTGGTGGGGGTAGGCGCGAGCGCGGGGGGAGGGGGGGTGGTGAGAGTGTGCCGTGCGCGCGTGCGGAGGACGGGGCGGCGCGCGCGCGGCGTGAACCAGTGTTAGCGCGCTCGAGACAGATGGTTTGTCAAATCCAGAATACCTACTATTAATAGGTCTTCACTGATTGAACAACTATATAAATATCCTCTGCCTAATATTTTCTCCCGCTTTGTCGACATTCTCTCTTTTGTGTTCATCTTCTGAGCTAGTTATCTTACGAGCATGGAGTGACATATTAATAATTGTTTTTTGCCTGTGATTCATAGATATACTCTTATATAAACAATAATACTGTTTTTGACTAGGGTATTTATCGATTCTTTTTGTTTGCACATGTATATTCCCACAGTTAACTGAAGGATAATAATTGTCATGTAACCACTACTTCTCATCCTGCCTGGACAGGCTACTTAAATAGGCACCCATAGTGTGTGTTAACTCCATGACTAACCCTAGAGGTCTCTATATCCTATATGTCCCTGTGTTTCAGGTCATATTTCAACTAACTTAGCTTGATCAAGTGGAGACCAGCCACAGCTCCACGTCCCGAGAGTTAAGCTCTAATAGACAATATGCTGTAGCGTATATATAGTTTAGAATATGTCTGCTATACATGGTTGTTTGGTTATGTCATTGGATAAGGGAATACTCTATTATATACAACAGTAGTAGTGTCATAAGAGACATATGAACGTCTACACCTGCTATAAATGGCATCTTTCTTTCTCTCACCGCATATATATGTATTTCCTAGCATATATATTGAGCATTTAGGTGCGTCTGCATATATGTAGGCTGTTATATGAGGTATCTCAATAGAACTATTGTTCTCTGTGATTGGTGTAGAGGTCGGAGACCAGTGAGTAGTGAGAGAATGCACAATGATAATTTATAAAATTGACAATAATGAACTGTGCACCCTAGAGAGATAATGATATACGTATAGTAGATTCTTAAGTTGAATATATTATATCAAAACAATACTATCTAGTTTGATTGCAAAAATTGTTTATGTATGTAGAAATATTATTTGATATTACAGACAGATTCACCTTGCCCTCAGGGGAATTTTAACAACTTTATTGGATTCTAGCATACTAAGTACTTGGTAATTCTCTGGTGACAGAGACCATATAACTAATTATCAAGGACAAGATATTATATAAAATTTTTATTTTTTACTAATTGACAAATTGCACTATCTCAGTAACCCTGCGGCTGGCCTACTTCTATATCCTATATTATATATAAGTGGGATACTGCTGATTATTCTTAACTTCCTTAAGTATGTCAATTGAGATATCGCGGCTCGTTTTTTATGGTCATTGCTAATATTGTCATAGTAGAACTCAAGATGTTATTCGCATACGGTTTAATACCACACATCATACACTATCATCACAACACATATCTAAGCTCAATGTTAGGAGATCAGCTCCTTTGCACATATACAGATGCATCTGTACTGGTAACTCATCCATAATGACTCTATTGTGTATTTAAGTACTCCTCAGTCAGTAAGTCACCATCGGTTCTAGTAATTCAACCGCTTATATAGAGCTTGCTCTATTTGTGAGCGCGCAATCGTGAACTTATAACTCTGTAAATGCATTTTAGAGAATCAATAGAGAAACTAGTTCTATTATTTTTGCTCATCCGTCCAGTCTGGTGGCCATGGATATGTTAGTATGAGAGACTCCTTAATTAGTGTTATAGCCTCTCAGTTTTTCATTTAATCTTTAACTTATATGCCAGGAGATAAGAAGCCTACACTTGTGTGTTTGGCAGATGTGTGATCGCTGAGTCGCTCTTCGTGCTAAAATAGTCTTGTGTAAGCCGAATAGTCGAACTTTTAACAGGCGTGAACAAGACGAGCCAATATGGACATTTTTTGATCAATCTTTTGTGTGTGATGGTGCAGCTTGTTGCTCGGCTGCAATAAGCCCACCTATGAGATTTAACATACAGATACACTGTTTCAAGCAAATAAATGCCCCGTGCCCGGATCCTCACAGGTTATATCACATGCTAGTTAATCCATAGAAGCCGTTAAGAGTGCCGTTGTGTTATATCGAAGGTGTGGGTTTGATTTGTTCCTCTCTGTTACTCACAGAGATGGGGAGGTGTCCGCGGTGGACTATTTTAAGTAGGCAATGGTGTGCCAGTATGATAGGCAATCACATGGTGCTCAATACAATGTGTTAAGGTAGAATAGAGGTATAACGCCGTATTTCCTATCTCTGGAGTGCTGCGATATATAATTCAGATGCCAAGACATGAAGAAATAAACTGGATGCTGCATTGTGCATCTTCAGCGAATATAAAAAAGTGCCTGGAAGAGTTTATAATGGTGAGATCAGCGGCATAAACCACAAATATCTTATCTCATTCTTCAGTCTCCGCCCTCACAATTAATAACATTGAAGAAATGTATACATTGATGTGTCTCTATGACTTTGAGAGTCTACTCGCTTTTCATCTCTAGACTCTTTCTTACAGCTGTTATACATTTTTCTAGGTGCATCTAGAGCAAAATCATACCATCCTTTATGCAATATCCCACTTCACTTCCATAAGTTGTGTGTTTATACAATGGATCGTCTCTGTTATACTCTCTCGTTCTCGTCTCTCTCGTCAGCTCAAGTGTCCTTTTCTCTCTAATTCTCTCATCACTCGCGCTCTCTTTCTTCGTTCTCTCAATCTTCCAGTCTTACTCTCGATGTCTGTGAATACTCACTCGTCGTCTCCACCACTCTCTCCTAATACACCTCATCTCGACCATAGCATCTACATCCAACACACAACACAAAACACACCTACACTACATCGACAACACATCGAGAGGTAGCCTAGATCAACAGCAATTATCTAAACATAAAAGCATACAAGGCCCAGATAACAGTGTTCGCAGATTAGCACTGCCTCGAACACAAGACTACTGCGTGAGACAAAAAAAGCAGTGGAGTAAGACCGTTATATAAGGCCTGGACGTACTATGAACTTAGCATACTGACACGACTTCTGGGCGTATGCAAGAGTCCGCAGGTGGCTATTATATTCCAGGAACACAGAATTCGCTGGATTATATCAAACGTGCAAAGACTCTGCAGACATGCTACAGCGAGCGTGAGGCGAGCGGGCGTGAGTGTTGAAGAGTGTAGTAGTAGTAAGATTGAATTTGGCCATGGTGCTGAGCTAACTCTGGATATGAAAAAATTTACACATACTATTAGAAGTTGATGATGTAGATCAGATGAAATCCTCAGCCTGAAGAACCGCCAACATGCTGTATTATCGAGCAAAGTTGAACATACTTCTCATATCTGCGCTCTTTCATTATTTTACAAACAGACTGCTCGCTTTATGGTATTGACGCAGATGATGTGGGGGATAATATCTGACAAGGAGTTGCAGTAGCTTGCTTTATGAGAAAAAGCCAGATGGATTGGAGACCGATTTTACGTACGATAGAACACTAATTTTCTGGCACGATACGTTCACTATGCTTGTCCTTTCGTGTCGTGCGTGACAACACAACCCCCTCCCAAAGGAACGCATAACAAATACCACTCTTCTCTCGCTTCGTTTCTATTCTCGCTGTGTGACTCCAATCTCTCACAATCAAACGAACCGTGACGAACGAGTGGAGAAAAAAGAAGAGTGAGATGACTAACGATGAGAAGATGTGAGACTGTAAAGAAGACCAACAAGGAGAGTGCAGTAATCCATACTCAATTATGAGAACAGATAATGCTCCATAAAATACGCTGCTTTCTCAAAAGCTCTGCACTCCTCGTCAGAAAACCTCCGATAACTTTCCTAGCATGGTGCATCCAATTGATGTTAGGTGAACATCCATCTACATTGCGCACGGTCACAAGCTGTACAGATTTCCATGGCGAGTGAACTCCAGCACGTAATAAGTATATGTGGGTCTTGAGACATGCTCTCTCATAACACATGAGAATACAAAGCGCGTAAAGTTGCCCTATCTAGCCACTATGTTAGGTCTTTGTTTGTGCCTCTCTCTCGACGAGCTTGTTGAGAACATAGCGTCCTCAATCGGTGAGCCACAGGTAAACCGTCCAACTCTGTACAATTACCACCAATCCGATCTCATTCTAAGGTAACAAAGACTCAACAATTCTTGTTTTCTGGTGCTCTCTACCTGCACTCATCATACTCAGATACCCATTTTAGCACTTGTTAATCTGAATGGAGTAACTTTCCTGTATCTTGCTTTCTCTCAACACAATTGTCTCTTCTCTAAAATGAGTGTCAAACACTATCTCAGAGCATTTACTGGTATTATGATCATGTTTCTGAAGCTAAGACAAACAGCATACCAAGAAATGGCTGTGTTTCCCCCTAGACATAATTTTGTAGGCCAGGAATCGCATGCTTATATCTTGATATCGTCTAGTACATTTTAGACTGAAATAAATTTACCTTCATGCGCGAATGCATTACAGGTACGTTGGACTAGTAGTCACTGATATCTCAGATAAAATGGTGGAGACAAGTAGAAGAGAGAAAAACGAACGCATTGAAAGACCTCGCTCAAGATGTGTCTGATATAGTTGTTCAGTGCAATATCAGGCAGTAACTGTCTAGCAGATGGCGGTACGCTGTGTACATGATACGGTATAGATGCTATTGGTGCTCGACTCTCGTTATATCATGCCGATACGAGTACGACGTAACTAGAGAACACAGTTATGAGAGAGAGGAGAGAGACGTGTGCGAGAGAAATTCGCTGCTATTAAATATACCTGTAATGACACCACTATAGTGTTGGAGTGGGTTTGGATATGTCGGCCACCCGGAGCTCCGCGGGACCTCACCAAGTCCTGCAGCTGTGCTATCTGTTTGTTTAGACTGTTGATGTCCTAAAAACCGTAAACACAGGAAATGGAGATTTTATTAGATGATTTTTATTAGAGAGCTGCTCTTTTCATAAATAACAATTCAACTCACTTGTTTAATGATGTATGTTAGCTCCTCGATCTCCACTGCCTTGTCATCAAATAGAGATTTTCTTTTTGCCACTAAAACGTCAAAGCGACAACATGGACAATCAGCACTTTGAACTTTATCACACAAGATTTTTAGTACATTTTAAATGATGCTAAAATAAAAATAAAGGAACACTTACAAATAGTGAGTTTTTCCAGTTTCGCAAATGTGTTGCTCAAGTCTTTTCCAATTCTCCTACAAGGAAACAAACACACAAAAATGTGGTTTTCTCTGTGATGCACATACTAAAGAAGTACTCCAACACTAGGAGAAAGGCTTATTTGCATTTAACTACAAACTAGATTATTCTGTGCTTTGAGTCTCCCTGCTTATAGTCTTTGTACTGTGCTTAGTCAAACATGCCCCCGACCAAACTCTCCACTCAAAATCTATATCACGCTTCTCATTTAAGACTATAAATGAGATTTCTATTAAATTCTGCTCTACAAATGCAATTAAGATGTGCTTTGAAATGCAAAAAAGAGAAGAGGAGAAAGCGACACACAAAACCAACATAAAAAGAACATTCAGCAAATATGTATGAGCTATTGAAACTGAAGAGGAACTTACTTGGCCATAACTGTGAAGTCGCTGCGCTGCCTGAGGGCGCTGAGAGCCGGTTTACTGGGCTGGACTCCATTCTGCTAGGGAAGATCAAAAAAAAAAAAGAGTATGAAATATGTCAGTATGAGCACTGCTAACCTGGGATTATAGTCCACCTGATACACGGTTATTGAGGCAAACACCAGGAGTGATATTTGAGGGTTGAAAAACAATGTGGTAGCAATAAACTGGCCGATGTTTTTTTAACGAACGGTGACCACAATATGGTTGAAAAATAAAAAATGAACTTATCAGTGGTCCCTTATAGAGAAACTATGTAACTGAGACAATTAAATCATCTCAAAGGTATCTTTGGCATATCTGTACTACAACTGGTTGTTTCAGTATCTGTGATATCTAGTATCGGCCTAAAAAGTGGAATAACTGACCGACTGCTATTTGCTATTAGTGTTGCACAATATAGTAAAAACATCCTTTTGAGATTATTTTGACAGATATTGTGATATGATTCACAATTAGTGTGGGAATTATCATTTTGGCATCACATATTTAATTTTCACTGAAGAAACTATTAAATCATTATTATTAAATCAAATTATTGTTACATTTGTTTGGGTTTGTACCAAACAAACATGTTAAATCTGTAACTCAAGATTTGTGGGCCGGGCAACAACAACAGTACTTCATTATATATGTTGTTTTGTCACACATTTTATCTGTTCAGCCCTATTTACCATTAATTTAGAGATTGTAAATCACATAGTGTCAGGAGACAACAAGAAGACACACTTGTGCTTTAACATAACCAAGGATTCTGCGTTGTTTGATAAATCTGATCAGACTAACAAACTGTGGAACCAAAATAGGAAATAAACCAGGAACCAAAACCAAAAGTAACCTCATCAAAACGTATCTGCGCAACAAAAACGACAGTGCAAACACACCATTGTACTTCTACATGTTGTAAAGCTGCTGTACAGCTGGGCCAAATGCCTAAATGTACATAAAGTGACCCTGTTATTATCGTGCAGTGGTGGCAGGTGTCCTGTGCCAACATACCGGCCTGCCCTGGAGAGATTTACAGGCTGACTGGAACTCGAGGGTCCGGTCACGGCACGTCATCCTGCCGCTGGTTTAGGGTCACCAGCCCGCTGTAGACCAGAACCACCTGGGACTGCCGGGTCCTGCTCCTCTGCTGTGTGGGGGATAAACAGGAAGACCTCCCGGTGTGGACACAAACTCACATCCAAGGTGGGGTACCCTTCATGGACATATGTACACACATGTCTGCAGTAACGGGGGGAAAAGACGTGTTAAATGCACATAAAGAGCTCACAGGCTGACAACAGTGAGCTGATAACAAACAGGTTGGACAGTCCCGGTACCGTTACTGACACCACCGCGACAACCGGGCGACAACCGGCACAAAGTAACTAACAAATGAACCCACAGCTATATATACATATCATTAGGTAACGATGATTATCCCGGGTCTGGACCGGCTCTCTCTCTGTGTACAGGCCGCCCATCGCCACACAGCTGATCACGGCCTGACCGGCTAACCAACGTTAGCTACGCGGAGCTAACCGGGCTTTTCCTACCGTCTCTCCGGTTCTACCGGGGTCAAATTCAACCTCGACTAACCGTGTGTGGTTCGACCTCATTTAAAAGACACAAATCGATCGGTTCCAGCTCACCTGAGTCGATATTACAGCATATTCCGAGAGCCCTCGATGTTTCTGGTGAAAACTAATCAACCCAGGAGTTAAAGTTACGATCCGGGTCATTTCCGGCATTGACGTCACTGCCACGTCTACTTTAGTGGCGGAAAATCCCTGCAGGCTCCGCCCACCGCCACCAGGGGGCGCCACGGTTACAGTGCGACTGCCCTCACACAGTACGGGACACTATAGTAATATTAATAAAGACATGGTTTTAGTTGGGTTGAACAACTGCAGAGTGAAGTCTAAAACTTACTTCCACTGTGGTTCTGGATATAAGTGTAATACACTTGATTATTATTATGTTATTCTTTAATTATTCAAGCATTCCTTGTAATTATCTATAACTTCTGTAAGCCACAATCTTAAACTCATTACTATTTAATTTCTGTCACTGTGGAATATGTTTACATTTACTTTGTATATAGGC